TGTGTGTGTGTGTGTGTGTAATTTTAGGTAAATACAAAATAATATGAATCCCTGTGTTGTTTTTCAAGCATCCTTCATGTTAAGTTTTATCTATCTTCTGTCTCTTCCTCTTCTACATCTCCCTCTCCCAACTGAAGCCCCCCATCATTCTTTCCATTTCCACTTCCTAGCGCCTGTATCCAGGGGATTTCCCTCTTTGCAGCTTAGTCTCCCCACCATAGTCTCTTTTGAGGCAATCCAGACCCAGAGAGACAAACATCACATGTTCCCTCTCATTTGTGGTTTCTACCTCCAAATCTTCAGATGTGAGTGCATATCCTGGAGAATCCACAAAACCAGAAAAGCAAATATCCAAATTTTATGTTAGCTGTTAACACAAGTCTTAGCTTAATTTCATGTTAACAAACCTCAAATGTTACACACACACACACACACACACACACACACACACACACTCACACACACACATAAATAAACATGACTGTGGGAAGGTCTTGTAAGGAGGGGATAGAGGGAGATGACAGAGGCTGGATGTGAGAGTACACAGAATGTACTATATATGTATGAAGTTGTCAAAATAAAATTAACTTTAAAAAGAAAGGAAAATTTTGTTTTCAAACACATTTTCTCATTTTCCTGTTGGCATTGGCATTGTTAGAGGATAGGAAGGAAGAGCCTTGCTGAGTAACCATTGGAAATTCTTGTCTTTTTTCATAGCTTAATTTTAGTTAGCCACAAACATGACTTTCCTGTTCATATTTATAGCTGAGTGAGGGCATTGCAGGTGACCAAATCCAGGCCAGTGAGATATGGGTGGGAGTGTGGTAGAAATATCCATAAAGGCCCCTCAAACACAACCTTCAAATGTTCATAAAGCCACCATGCCATCTGATAATATCTCTACAAATACCTTTTGAGAAAAGTGAACTTGTGTTAATTTCAGCTTCTGAGATTTCAGGGTTTGATTTTTTTCTACTATGTTTAAACTTGATTTGGAATGTGTAGGGGTGAATTGCCTATGTTCTGTATCACTTGGAGGCTTCCTTGTGTGTTTCCAGGGAAAAGTTAACCACTATGGTGTGGATATGAGCAAGAATGTACAGTGTATATCTTTCTGAGCCTGGCTTGTGTTACTTAATACAGTATTTCCCAGTTTTATCTTTTTTCCCTGCAAATTTAATAATTTCAGTTTTCTTTATGAGGGAATATAATTCTGTTATGTAATATATACCACATTTTCATTATCTATTCACTAGTTGACGGACATCTAGGTTGATTCATTTTCGTTCCTGTGGTGACCAGAGCAGCAATGAATATGGGTGAGTACCACTGGGGTAGGAAGCGGTGTCGGTTGGGTCTATGCCCAGGAGTGGTATGATTGAGTCTTATGGCAGTCATTCTGCTTTTAGGCTTTGGAAATCTCTTCACACTGAGGTTCCACCTTGGGTGCACCAGGTTACACTCCATCAGCAGGGCATCCGCTCCCCGCTTTCCCCAACTCGTCCTCTGCTGGGGGATGTCTTGCTGTACGCTGTGAATGTATGTTGTTCCCATTGATTAATAAATAAACTGCTTTGGCCTATGGCAAGGCAGCTTAGAGGCAGGCAGGAAAGGAGAGAGATAGGAAAGAGAAAGGCAGGGTCTGGACAGGACACCATCCTGCCATCCAGAGAACAGCCTGTAATGGCACTCACTCAGGTAAAGCCACGGACAGTCCTCTGCCTTTGCTGACATTTGTTTTCTTGATGACAGCTGTTCTGACTGTGATGGCCTCAAAGGAGGTGGAAGTTGAATTTCTCTTATGACTAAGGATGTGGAACACATTTAAAAATGTTGAGTGGCCATTTGCATTTCTTCTTTTGAGAACTCTCAGTTTGGTTCCTTTAGCTGGTCTTTGTTTTTTTCTCTCTTTTTTTTTGTTTTAATTTTTTTGCATATTACCAGGTGTATAGCTAGAAAAGATTTCTCTTTTTAAAGTCTGTATAATATTTGACTTTTCCAATAGTAAACAGAAAATCATTACATCCTTGTTTACAATTAGTGTGCATCCAAGTTGGTATTCATACAAACTAAAGAATACAGGGTAACATGGGGCCTTGGGACCAATAAGCTGGCTGGATGAGGCTCTTTCTGTTCAGTCAGCTGTACCAAACTTAGCTATTTGCAAGTGTTTCTGTTGGTTTATATAGCTTCCTGCTCTACCTTGCTAAGTTCTTGGCCAAGCCAGATCCCTCTAGTCTATGACTGCTCCCATTTTTCTGGTGCCCTACAGACTGTGAAGAGGCCCATGGTGCTGTTCAAGGCAAAGTCTTTCTTCTCCACATGTAGCGCCATGTCAGTGGGGATTTATTGTTCGCTAACTGACTCATAAAATGTAAAGGCAGGAAAACCAAGCTAGTTAAGCGTACACTAGAGCCATGCAGACTGGGTTTCCCTGTTCCTGGTGCACATGGGTAAATAGCTTGACTCAGGTCTTGGACTTCACTGAACCTCTTCTGTAAGATGGAGACCAAGTTTATCCTTTCCTGAAGGGTTGATGAGTGATCCAATTGTTCTCTAGAATGGACTTAAGTCACTTCTGCTTCCTAATGCTTTTTGGGGTGGACATCACAGGGTACCCTACCAGCAGGGGGTGCTATGGAGCCAGCCAGCCTTCCAGGAAACACTGAATTCTGATCTGGATTGTTGAGAATGCTTGACTACTCTTATCATCCTCCCTCCCGCTCCCTCCTCCCGGAAGACACGGCGGAGAAGACACAGCGGAGAAGACACGGCGGAGAGCCCTCCCAAGCGTTCTGTGCACATCTTAGGAAGGTAAGTCCAAAACTATCCTTTGCTTGTCAGCCTGAGTCAGATGGTCAGTGTCTCAGAAGGGCCAAACAAAGGTCGGAAGCTGTCATTCTGGCCAGAGATGCCAAAAAGTCCACCTGCAGCCCAGTTGTACCCTGGTTTCTATCTCTCTCTGCTCCGTGAAAAGGACTAACGTTAGACTTGCACATCAACCAGGTCTCTGAACTTCTAGAAGCTAATGTCTACTCAAGAAAGATACAGAAAAAGTGAGTTCCGCAAACGGGTGCATTGTCCCAGAATTCACTTCACCCCTTACTGTCTTTCCCATAATGAACAGGAATTTTCTAAAGAAATAGGATGTTTCCACTAAAGGAAATCCGTTTTACCATGAGATATTAAAACTTTCCACTTCCAGAGCTGGATTACTATAAAATCTTCCTCACCAAGTAGAAAAAGAAAAGTAAAGTAAGAGGGGTGAGATAGAAAGAGGCTGGCTTACACCATCCACTCAGCCTTCTGGGCAAATTCAGAGCCTTGAACAGAGGCGCCCCTGAACTGACCAAAGCAGTTGGAAAGGCTGCTAGGATTTGGATGTTGAATGACCCTAAAGGTCCATTTGATGAAGTCCTGGTCTCCTGGGACATGCTGTTTGGAAGTGGCAGCTGGTGGGAGGTCCTTAGACTGTTGGTTCAGGAACACCCAAACCTTTGGTCTTTCCTTCACACCCTTGCCAGGAGATTTCTGCCTTTGCCATTATACACCCAACAACAGGCCTAAAAGCAATGGCTCCACCTGATTATGGACTTGGAGTCCTAAAACCAAAAGTCACCATAAACCTTTTCTGTGAGTTAGGTTTCTTGGTAGTTTGCTGTGGTGACAGAAGTCTGGCGAGTGCAGCCTGCTACAGTTTGGAAACCCCTGATGTTGTGCATCCCACTGTAGAGGTGACTTCAGTTTATTTGTCACAACCAAGAGCACATATGGACCATTAGTCTCCACCATGACAGTTCCACTTTGAACGCCGATTAGTCTCACGTGATGTACCTAGTGCTGAGCTGCAGGGTGGAGACAAACACAAGCTCATTCGGTTTCTTGAAGATGCATCGTGATTGCCCCAGTTCATTCCACTTAATAAAAGCGAGTGTCTTTTGGGGAAGAATTTTGAAATCAGACTAAGGCTTCTCCAACTTCCGAATGGGCTCTGCTCTTCCCAAGCCCAGGCCACTGTGGCATGGGTGGCCGTTAATATGTTATTTCCCTTCCCTGTATCACAATATAAAGGGCTTTAGCAGCGACCTTTCTATCAAAACATCCTTTGTTTAGAATGAAAAGCTATTCACTGTGAGAGCCTTATCTAGGGGGTTTGTGCAGAGGATCAAATCCAAGAGCAAGATTGGTTTACTTTGTATTAAATGAGCTTGGTTAAGGAGTCTCTTTGGCAGAAAGGTGCATTAATCACAGCAGCACAGATCTCTCTTTTCACAGCTTCTGGTTTACTTTCAGTAGGGTTACACAGGGAGGCTTTTGTTCCCCCAGAGTAGCACTGTATTTAAATACAGTAAATATAGCAAAATTGCCTTCTTAAAATGACACAAGAGTCCCTCCAGTGCGGGGCGCCCATAATGGCCTCAGTGTTGCGGGACCAACTTCACGGCTTCGGAAAGCCTCTCAATTAGTTTGGACAGATGGGTTTTATCCTGTGGAAATCAATGAGTTTTTGTGAGTTTGACTTAATTTTTATGCAGCTAGCACTTTGAGATGAAATTAAAATATGTATGAAAAACATATTAAAGTTTCCCTTGGGTCTGTAGCTGTTTGTACATTTACAAGGTGTTAAAGAGATGATTTAAAAACTAACTCTGTAAGGGATCAATGCAAGCGGACCATGATTTATGGTCTTTCATGACATTTTTGACACTTTGGGCTTAATGTCTTGTGTGTGTTGAACCACTAATTATCTTTTAATTCGTAACGGGCTTCGTGGTCTTTTATAAGTGTAATATAATATACGGGACTGTATCATATAGGAAAGCCAGGAGAAAACATGCTTTACATGCTTGGTTGAGTGGGGAACATGTGTAAGCAAATTTGGGCCGAACCTGGCTGAAAAGGCTTCTTCACGGTGCTGTAAAGCTGGCACACTGCTTTTGTCGGCCCGTTTTTAGAGAAGTCAAAGGTTTTCCTCCTTAAAGGTAGGTGTGTGATTAAGACCTTCAAAAACTAGAAGTTATTACAGTAGGAACCGAGTCAGACAGTGCCTGACCATGGAGTAGGGGCCCTGTAAAGAGAGGTGGGATAAATAAATAATTAGATGGTAACTGAACCCATCCATCCTGTGTTTGATTCCACCTTTTCTGGAACCAAATGTCTTTCAAATTAGATTATTCAACAAAGTTCTGGGAAGGGCAAAACTAACTCAGCAGGAATCCTGAAGAAACTACCAATAGGGAATGCCCAGTTTAGCAGCAGGACCCAGAGATCTGCCCCGGAAAGGGGCATCAGTAAGGGAGGGCCAAAGTCTCAAAGCAAAGCCAGAAAGAACATGGCGGTATTCCCATGTTATAGTTGTAAGGATGTCGAGGCCCATGACATGAGAGCTGGCCTGTAACTGTGCAGTCGGGGTGAAAACATCACCAGGCCAGCTTTTGAGACCTGACTACAAAACCACTTGGAAACAAAATCCTGACCAACACCAAGCCTGCAAGAACGACCTGACTGTGAACGAGTCCGTCTTTAATCATCCCTGGTCATTGATCCCTGCCTTGGAAATGAAAAGAAACCCGTGCTTCCATTCTTCTAAGGAGTTTGAGATTTAGTTTTCTTAGCTCTGGAAGCATCTGCTCAGCTCAGGGTAAGGATGAGTGAAGAAGAAAAGGCCTCTTCTAGACACATTTTATTGCCATTGTGCATCCCCACACTGTGTACTTGCACCTTATGTAAAGGGGGAGGGGCTTAAGTTGCCGGGACTACTTTCTCTACCCCGTGACTTCTGAGTAGGAAAGTGCAGCTGTGGGAGGAGGTAACAAGAAAGGAAGATAGGCATTTGCATGTAATCATCATTGAGTGATGGGGCAGTTAATATTGGATTGATCAATTTCATGGATTATTTTATTCAATAGCAGAATCACCTTCGAAGGTAAAGATTAATATCAAACCCATAACATGGGATAAAGCAGTCATAGGGCTGAGTGCCTGCTATTAGCTAACACGTGAGAGGTTGAGGCAAGAAGGCTGACCATGGAGCCCTTCTCCTTACCACCTCATCCATGTCCAGCCTTTGACACTCTGCTTGAGCTCAGCCTCTGAGCTAGAGGTAAGAGCAGCAGGAGAGGCCAGGCACTACCAGCCAGGCAGGGAAGTCGAGCCCATGCCTCATCAGCCACAGTACAGGGTGCCTGGTGTGACTTGTAAAGCAAGGGTACACATAAAGTGTCACAGACGGAGAGGGAGAGTGTCCTAGGTGGGGACGGCAGATTTCGAGAGCAATGCATCCGGAAGTGTTTGGGTGGCGGTCACACAAACAGGGTCACTTGGAACATCCACCTGTCTCTGTGCTTGAGTTATAAAGCATGGGCCCAAACAGTGCCCATCCATCTGAAAGGTGCCCTAGCTTGCTGTGTAACCTAGCTAAGAGGAGATATGCCCTGGGAACCAAGCAACTGAGTTGCAGCCAATCACAGGCTGCCAGCTGCTAATCAACAATGTCCAAGTTGCTTCTGTATGTCACTTTCTCACTGCTGGCTGTACATAGGATCTGCACAAGGATGGGGTGGGCATTTGGAACCAGCTTTGGTCTGGACTACTCACCTATATGTCACAGTCTTTTCTCATTTCAGTAAATTTTGTGAAATGACCCCCAACTAAGGTTTTTCTCTAATAATGCTGTCTATCTTTCTCATGAAAAAAGAAAAGGACTGTCACCCCTCCTAATGGTGTCATCAGCTACCAGGCTTCTCTGAGCCCCTTCCTCCACTTTCCATGGCATATGGCTCTTGTGATCTGGTCATAAGGTGGCTTTTGCCCCACTAGGCATTATAGTCCCATTTAAGGCAGGAAAAGAAAAGGAGAAAAGGAAAGGAAGAGAAGGAGAAGGAGAAGGAGGAGGAGGAGGAGGAGGAGAAATATCATCATCATCATCATCATCATCATCATCAGCAGCAGCAGCAGCAGCATGTACCTCCACAACAGCAAGGGAGAAGATACCAGACTCTTCAAAATGATTGCACTATTTTACACCCTGCCCATAGTGCAGGGGTTTCTGTTGTGAGGCATTTAATGTCTTGAACAAAACTGCAGTTTATGTTGATAACTGGACAGAAGTAAACAGGTGTACCACAGACAACAAAGAAGAAATGGAAGGAGTTTAGAGCAGGCAAGAGGGGCCACATATGATGGCAGGAGGAGGTGGACCAGTAGAACTCTAGGCTGGAGTGGAAAGATTCCAGTGGGAATTGAATGTGGAAATGTCTATAGGGTGATATTGTGGAGAATTTTGCCTTAAATACTTGCTTGCAAGTGTTCCTTTTATTTTATAATTAACAGGAAAGCATCGGCAATTTGTGTGTTTTCTTTGACCTTTGTTGAAGTAAGCTTCATATACAACAAATTAAACTTTTTTTTTTTTTGGTTTTTCGAGACAGGGTTTCTCTGTGTAGTTTTGGTGCCTGTCCTGGAACTCACTCTGTAGCCCAGGCTGGCCTCGAACTCACAGAGATCTGCCTGCCTCTGCCTTCCGAGTGCTGGGATTAAAGGTGTGTGCCACCACCACCTGGCCAAATTGAACTTTTAAAAACACAACTTTCTGAGTGTTTATATATAGATAAGACCCCCAAGCCATCCTCTCAATCAATGCAATGCATATTCCCACCCCCAGTTTCAATTGCTCTCCTTTCTAATCATTCTTCCTCCACATGCACTTTCTAAAATCCTTGACATCTAGCCATACTATGGCAAAAATCATTTTTTAAACAAGGAATATTTTGTGCAAGTTTCTAGTTTCAGTAATAACTAAGTTGCTGTACCCTTCACTGACAAGTGTTTGTGCCTCTTCAGAAAATGCCCAGAACTAAAGTGGCTGTATCACAGCTGTGCTTACCTTTCCAGGAAGTGACCGTGTGGATTTCTAAAGTGGCACCACTGAACATCTCCCTGGGGGTGCAGACTTTCTCCACTCCATAGTCATGTTTGTGATGGTCACTGTTTAAACGCCAGCCATTCTATGACACGTCGTGATTTCTCACTGTAGTTCTAAGATGAGACTCTCTCAAAGGCAGTGCTGGGAGTGGTGTTTGTTGACTATTTTTGTATCTTCTTTATTGGGGCATCTGAACTTCTTTTCAGGGTGTGGTGGCACATGCTCTTAATCCCAGCACTCGGGAGTCAGAGGCAGGAGGATCTCTGTGAGGACAGCCTGGTCTACATAATGGGTACCATGATAACCAGGGACAAATAGTGAGACTCTGCCTCAAAAATAGATAAACAAACAAATAAACAAATCTGGCTATACTGAAAAAGTCACATTTTTCATCTTCCTGGTATTTAGTTCCACGTGTTCATCATAAATTTAAGATATAAGCCTTTCGGGTGGAATACATGCTCCGATGTCCCTCCTGGTTGGAGTTGTCTTTGTGTTCTCTTAACGGTATGCCTGGAAGAGCAAAACATTTTAGTTGTACGGTCTATCAACTTGTCCTTGTTTCAACCTTGTATGGCTTTTAGAAATACATGTGTGGATCAAAATCTCAAAGACTTCTTCCTAAGAACTTTATAGTTTCAGATTTTACGTTTATTTTCATATTTGCACTAATTTTTATAGATGATGTGAAGTAAAGGTTAATGTTCTTTTATTTTTTTCAAAGTAAAATTGTATTGATTCAGCATTATTCATTCAAAAGACTTTCTTTACTACATTGGGTGGCCTTAAAACTCCTGATGAAAATCTCTTGGTTTTGTGCATGTGAATGCATATGTTTCTGACATATCTAGTCTTCATTAATCTCTGTGTTTATATATTTACCAATAACAAACTTTTTTATGGTAGTAAGTCTTGATATCAGACAAAGTAACTCATCCAAATCATCTTTTCTTTCTTAATTTAAATGTTTTTTGTTTTTGTAGCTGCAAGAGGATTTATTTTAACATTATTTTTAAAGCCAGTATACAATGCAACAGATTTCATTATAGTGTTTTCATATATACATGTCATTACATTTTGTTCTGGGTGCTTGCTTTCACACACATTTTAGAATTAGAATATCACATTCTGTTTTTAAAAATTATATTGGGGTTCTGATGAGTTATTTTGAATTTATAGATCAACACAGAGGAATCATCACCTTAGCAACTGAATTTTCTGATCTCTGAATATAGGCTATCTTTCCACTGAGCTAATTACCCTGTTACCCTGGTGATATCAGCTGTCTTTAGAGTAGGGACATCAGACATCTTTTGCTAGACTTATACCGAGTTACCTTGAATGATGGATGGTAGTGGACAGTGAATGACTTCCAGAAAAGTCATATCAGAAATCAATGGAGATAGTACTGGTCCAAGGACATTGTCCAGTTGAAGAAGCACAGTCTTCACATCCCTGGTGGTGGCAGCAAGCACCTCCATGGAGACCTTGCTTTTGGAACGTGGTGGCAGGTATGAATGCCATCTTGGAGCCACTAGGAGCTGGCGGTGTGCAGAGTGAATTTTAAAAAATATTTATTTATTTTTATGTACAAATGTTCTGTATGCCTGCATTACAGAAGAGGGCATCAGACCCCATTACAGATGGTTGTGAGCTGCCATGTGGTTGCTGAGAATTTAACTCAGGACCTCTGGAAGAGCAGCCAGTGCTCTTAAGCACTGAGCTATCTCTCCAGTCCTGAGTGAGGGGGTTCTTGAGTGAAAACCAAGGTTAACAACATCAAATACTGCTGCTTTCTAAATCAGCTCCCAAGGAATTGGAACCCAGGGACCAACCAAGTAGTTTCTAAAACACCTCTTCTGCCAAGAAGCCCTCTATGTCGAAGGTGGTCCCTCCCCTTAGTGACTACTGATGATACAACTTGTATGGAGTGTTCCTATGTTTGAGTCAAGAGCTCCCAAGAACAGTAGAGCCAAACAGGCCACCCTCTTCAATTACCAGCTGGGAATCTGATGCCTCAGTTGTTGTATAAAAACCAATTTTCTATCTAGGACTATATGTATATATGAATGCAGATATTAATATTTGTATTCTTAAATAATGAAATATGCATGCTATATATTTATGTGAATTATATATGTACAAATATCCATATGTTTATTCTCTTTACTTTAAGTATACACCAATGTACATAGCCTTAGATTAATGTATATTATGCTACTATGCAAATGCTTGGATCATATATATGTATATAAACACAAACATATATACATATATACACTAATGTATTAATACACATAATGACATACATCTTAAGACAGACCTGTATATATGCCATATCAGGTCATATCAAGATGAAGCCGAGGCAGTTTCACGTTTCTAAAGGAAGGTAAAATTGAGAAGGCAAACCTTGGTGAGGGAAAGTGAACAGCTATGCATTCAGCATCTACTATATGCCAGGCTCTGTGCTAACTATGACCTTGAATATCCAAGCATTAACATGGGTTGTAGGTAGACATTAGCATTCCTCCTTAACAGGCCAGATAACAGAGTTGCTCCCATGAGGTCCAGTGATCATTAGGTCTGTAGATACCAAATCTATGTGTCGTTCCCTCTGCCTTGCTGATGGTGAGCTTTGCTGTTCACAGCATGGAGCATCACCACAGCCTACAATCTCTTTTGCCCAATATCACACCTCAAGAAAATTTTTATTTTATTCACCCACATGGAAAAGATGCAAATGAGTAGCATACCTACATTTATAGCTCATTACTTCCTAGTTAGAGCAAGCCATTAAACTGTGTACTCACTTTTATGAGGCTCCAATTTGAATTTTTATGTATCCCAGTTAAATGGAGAGCATTTTCCTAATTTTGTGAGACTATGGCACTCATCATCAAGATCTTTCACAGGAAGCCAAAGTTGGGGAGAAGACTCCTGGCCTTCATTATTTTGATTCTCTGCCTCTAGCACCTACGCACCACAGGTGGTGGTAGTGAGCAGCTGATAGGAAGCGCAGTCACAAATGGGTTGCCAAGAGTTGTCAGACCTGCCCATGACAGTAGAGACATCTCCAGCTCTGCATGTGTCATTCCCAAGGGAATTATAAGTAGGTTCTTGATGTTTGTCAGTTGAATACAGTGGAGATATTGACCACTCCTGTTACATATATATAAAATCTCAAACCAAAGGTGAATCACCTTAGAGATAGCCAGGGACTAAATGGTCGAGACAGCTAGAGGCTAGGTAGATGCCTCTTCACATAGACTGCGATGCCTTAAGAAATTGTTACCCTCTCTCCTACACTGAGAGAGGGTAACAATTGGCTCTACCACAAATACCTCCTTAAAATATTAAAATATTTGTGTGTGTAAGCTTGTTGGACTTCTCTGAGGTTTTTTTTTCTTTTTTCTTTTTTTTTTGAAATCAATCTTTTCTTATCTTTATTTTACTAGAAAAGAACTGTTGTGTTTTTGGTCATCTTTCTGCAAGGATGAGAACAGTTTAAAGCCGAAGAGACCTTATCTCCAATTTCCAGTTTAATAAGGAAGAGGCTTATTCTGTGGAAGGGGAAGCCAGAATCAAGTCTCTTGGCCCTTGTCTTATAGCGTCTCACATGGTGAGCAGCTAGTCTGCTCAGGACCAGGATGTAAGTGTGTGTGTGTGTGTGTGTGTGTGTGTGTGTGTGTGTGTGTGTGTGTGTGTGTTGCTTGTGCGTGTGCGTGTGTCTGTATGTGCCTATGTGTCTGTGTAGCTCAGGCTGGTCTCTGGCCTCAAAATCATGATCCTCCTGCCTTTGCCTCTCAATCGATTGGAATAAAGACGTGCTCTACCACATTCATCACAAAAAGTCATCTCCAAAGCTTGTTTCAGTTCTGGTCACTGGAGTCACTGGTCTAGACATGATGCTGTTACTGAAATTATTTATCAAAACAGATAATCAAATCATGATAAGTGAGGTTAGAAATTAGGCATTTAAGACTCTCCAATCACTTTGCCTCTATTTTAGCTTCTGCCAAGGTGTTCCTGAGGCCAGCCTAGTGTTTGCTCGGCGTCTTTTCCATACTATGTACTGTTTTTTGATTCCAGACAATCCATCAGGAGACTCCAGCCGAAGGCAGTCCTGTGGTCACTGTGCAGCTAAGGAAACAGTCCCAGGTTCTAGTCAAGAATGAAAATACCCAGGGCACTACAAGCATTCCCCGGAAAGGAAGTCTCAGAGTTGCTTCTGTTATTTGCCAATAAGAGATCAAAAATTTATTTGATGCTGGTTTCTGTAAGAATTTTGGTTCTTTGATTATTTGCTCTAAAGTCAGCAAGGGAGTTTGAGGAGACTGAGGCACTGGCGAGGGCAGGACTGGAAAGAAGGCAATAGGAAAGATTAGTGTGCTTAGGAGAGTAGATGTCCAACACGACAAACTTTGTCTACATAGGAGGCAGTCCCTGACTGTAAACAGCACTCTATTGTCCCCAACTCTTTCACACCAGGTACCCTGCAGTACAGCACAGGACCCTCATGCGTTCCTGTCTAGTCCTTATAGCCTAGAACCAAGCTCCTTGTCTCTCCCTTCCTCCTGTTTCAGGATCTTTGAGTGAAATGCTCTTCGTAGTTCATTTAGTTCATTCGTTTTACAGTTTCCATTCTCTTTCTCTTCACCCATTAGATTCACTCTCCCCAGTGTCTCAGTTTCTTGAGAAATCTTACTTGCAGTACTCCCCTCCTGTTCTGCCTTAGATCCCATCTTGGTGCTGACCATTCACACCACCCCCTGCCCTTAATGCAAAGCACTTATCACGTATGCACTTTCTCATGTGATTATTTGATGACTATGTCTTTCTTCCTTACACAATGACCTGCTGAGGCCACACTCTGGGGACGCCTGGTTTAAAATTGCATTGCCTCAGCCTACCACAGAGCCTGGCACACACAACAGTGCTCAGCAAATACCTGTTGGATGAAGTTGTGCATGGCCCTAAGAGACGGTCGTGATGACAGGCACCCTTTACAAATCAGCTGGTGCATCTCACCATAAAACCATAGCTAGAAAGTGATAAAATTTACCCCCAAATCACCAGCTATCATAACCAGGGTCTGGACTTCCCCACAGTCCCAGATCAGCTGCTGTGAGCTCGGTCTCTCATTTCCTCCAGTGACTTAAAGCCAGAGCATGCTTTGTGTTTTAATTTCCTCTTCTGAAAGCCAGTACTATAACAAAATAGCAAGGACCAGCACACACTCTCCAGCCTGTTCTTCGAAGCCTGGCTAACAGACACGGGGAGATTATTAACACAATAAACCATAATTCTGCAAATTTGTACTCAGGGACTTTTTATTGCCTGGTTGGGGACTATTTAATCTATGGCTTGACTCCTTGGTTACTGGGTTACTTGGTTACTAAGTAACCAGGTAATTGACACATGAACCAAGAGGTTTACAAAGATGCTGTGTCCAGTATTAGATTTTATGAACTTAGTAAAAACTCCAGTTACATATTTAGAATTTTAATGAAGTTTATGGCATTTTAATAATCACATTCCATATCATAACCAATTTCCTAACAGCTTTGAGTTTCCTTGTAATACTGGCTCTGAGAATGTTTTTTGAAATTTTTGCCTTTATTGATAATTTTTAAAAGCTCCCTAGCACCATATAAATGACTCTAAAATTAAAATAGCTGAGAACGTTTGCATGGAGCACATGCTTATCCTACGTCTCCTTCTCTTGCTAAATTTGTATCTGTGACATGGTGGAAGAGGTTTTAAGCTCAACATTCAGAGATCTGTGTTGGATCCTGGCTTCACCACTGCTGTGTGACCCAGTGACGCCATGTAATCTCTGAGCCTCCATTTCCTACTAAGAAGCTATAATCATTTCTTAATTTGGAGGGCAGAGTTATGAATTAAATTAAATGCTATATGAAGGTGTTTCATACCCCATAAAATACCACATATATGTCTTATTATTAGTAGACGCCTTCTCCTTCTGCTGTTCTTATTGGTGGATTTGCACATTTTTGTCTTTGATTCTGCTTGTACTCTAGTCCCAATAACAGCCTTGTAACCACGTTACTGTAAATTGCAATCTCTTAAAATAAGATTTTGTTCAAGCACTGCCTTCCAAACTCTAACTCACGGCTAAGTAGGAGGGAAGTGCTGGTCTCATTGGGTTTCTTTTGGCTTCACTGTGTATAGACCTAGCATGGGCTCCTGGCTTCAGGCTTTCACAGCTTCACTACTTTCAGACCAGCAAGGGTTCATGGTTTGGACTTCACTGTGGGTAGACCCAACCTGGGTTCATGACTTACCATCACCTTGCTGATCATCCTTAGGCCGCCCACGCAGCAGGACATGGATCTACTCTCCTGGACTAGGCAGAGAAGTGGCAGACAGCCACTGTACGAGTGCCATGGTACCTTTGCTGAGATGGATCCTCTCTGGCAGTCACTGTTCTGAGTTACAATTCTCTAGCATCACAGTCCTCCCTTGTTCCATTTCTTGTATTTTCGGAGACACACAGATACTGTTGTGGAGAACAGAGGAAGCCCCCAGTGAGGGTGTAAGGAGTAGATAAAGTCCTGGGTGAATATTTATGATTGGCAAGGACCCTAATGCTTCAGACCCACGGAAAAGTCTTCCTCTGGTCGCTGTGCAAATGCTGACCAAGTGTACAGAAAGTGGGAACAGACGCTTTCTTCCTCCTCAGATGTTTACAGTCTGTGACTGCCCCTGCAGGGACCTCCCCTCAAGACTAGCTAACCCCTCTTCCTGGGCTCTTCACAGTAAAGACGCCGAGGCCATGGGTTGTTGTGTGGTGTAGTAGGTGCCGCCCCTTCAGAGCATGCAGGGGCCATCCGGTGCCAGTGTTTTTGTACGCGCCTATGCATGTCTATCTTTTCTGCATTCTTTTATTGCTCCGATCAGGTCAGGTTTCTAGGACCCAGCCTTGCAGGACACAGTGATCTGTCACCAAAAATCAAAGAACAGGAGACATGGGGAGTGGAAGATGTTGGTTCAGCCTAAGCCTCTGTTTAGAGTTTTCACTGGGATAAGAAGGCACTTGGGAGGCAGAGCGAAGCGGATCTCTGTGAGTTGGAGGCTCGCCTGGGCTACCAAGTGAGTTCCAGGAAAAGGCGCAAAGCTACACAGAGAAACCCTGTCTCGAAAAACCAAAAAAAAAAAAAAAAAAAAAAAAGGCTGAAGTTGTATGATGTGGCCCTTTGGTGGCACAGTAAATCCAGTCCTTTCAGGGGTGATCAGCCACCTTTCAGGCTCTGTACATGGCTTAGATGGTGTCTTACAAGATGCTTGACTGGCAGAGAAACTGCCTCATGCTGGGCTTCCCCAAGACTTTCAGAGAACAAGCAGAGGCTGTCATCTACATGTTCACTGTTCATTTTTTTTTTTTTTTTTATAATTTTACCCTCTTTTAACCCTAAAAGATGGTATTCTGATCTCTGTGAGAAAGTAGAGGTTCCGATGAAGTGGCAAGACTGAGTTTGTACAGCCTGGTGTGAGCGGGTCCTGGGCTCCTCCATTCTTCTTCCTACTGCGTTATGCTGTTCACCAGTCCTGTTAATATTAGTTCAGTCTCCTATCTTCTAGATCAACCCCTCTCCATAGCCACACACCCAGAGTCCCATTAACATGAGGCCTAAATAAGAACTGTAGGTGCATTTCTTTCTTTTTTAAATCTAATTGAAACAATCTCCCTGGCTGCTACTTAGTGTGTGACATGCCCCAGTCATCGGTCCCCAGCCCACTCTCAGAGGACAAAGAAGTCTCATAAAATAAAGCACACTTTTTTTTTTCAATTCCAATTCCACCATCATACAGATGTCTCCTGGTCCCTGCTGCCGCGGCCAGGTCCTGCTGTCATCTCCTGTCCCTACTACTTGTAAACTGTCCTCTCCAGGGGAAGTTCAGCAAAGAGAAAAGTCAAGAGATGCATTCTGTGACACAGGCTTCACAGTTCTAATAGCAATGACATTGCTGGTGGCGCGGGAAGTCAGAACGGTCTGACTTAGCCACTTGGACTCTTAGAACTGATTAAAAAATGACTGCAGTGCCGTGTGCAGGAAGAATGGGCGCCCTTTAACGCGCCTTTTATGCCAAGCATCTCATTTGCTTTCCGCCTCCTCATCTAATGGCTATATGTTATTAATACCTTTAGAAAACTCACCGTATTACAGGAATGAAAAGCAGAGGAAAGAATGAGGTGCCCTTCACTCACCCTGGCACTTTGTGAAGACTAATGCCCACTCCTGTGTGCTCAGCCTCTCCCGGAGAAATGTAAGGACCCCAGGATTCCAGTTACACAGCTTCCTCAGGGCTGGAGGAGAGCGGAGGCAATCCAGGCCCTAGCCCAAGTGAAAGGTGTGATACCGTGAACTGACCCAGCTCTCAGGAGCCATCCCTCAGGCCATTGGGGTCATCAGGGAGCTAAACACAGAAATACAGAAATGGAGTGCATCGATGATTTCTCATTGTCACCATAGGCCTGGCCCACTTGTGAGGCTCCAAGGGCACTGAAGATACAGACATTCTAAAATGGGTTTATAATGATCACATATTATTTTTTTATTTTATTCTTTTTACTATTTACAAGAATGCCTTTAAGACAGAGAGACCACACAAATGTGATCCATTTAGATTATGTATTGATAAGAGAACTGCAGTTTATAAAAATTACCATGGAAGCCAAGCATGACGGCATGTGACTGTAATCTGAGCACTTGGAGAGGTG